ATAATTAAACTCCACAGGAAGTTAGAACCCAATTTCCAGGTAGCTCCCTACATCAAAGCTCTCTAACAGAGCATCAGTTTAGAAGTTTTCCCATTATCAGAATGGGCCAGCTAGCTGATCATAACCCTGAAGGCAAGGCATATATACCGCAATTTCTGACAGTTAATAGCTCTACAAGATACCCATTTCATAGATGTCACACACCACAAGTAGAGGTCAATAGTTGTGGTGTTATGACATGGAACAGAACCCAGAGGGAACATAGCATCCTGGTGTTACAACACCGCAACTGTTTCACTCCTTCCCCCCCGCATTCCTTTGTTGGCAATCCAAAAGGCCAAACTTACTCTAATGCCATTAGCTCGGACACTTTGCACGTCAGACATCTTTCGCAGGTGGTTCAGGAGTGCAGTTTCCGAGAGATCATTCTCTGGTAAGAAATACTGATAGATGTCATAGCGCAGTCGCCATCTAGAGTTCTGGCCTGTCCCTGAATCACACGAGGGAGGATTGGCACCTCTGGAATTAGACAAACCAAAGTTTATACTAGCCACATGCCCAGACCAAGAGTCCTGATCTTAGATTTGTATCGATAATTGGCAGAAGCAGAACTCCAGATCTGAACACTGATATTTCAACATCCAGATCCAAGTCTGGGCTTCAGGATTTGGCTCTTTCTAAAGAAATTCAGGCTCAGAGTTTAGATTTCAATCGGTCTTCAAGCTATACATGCAGGTTGTAAAATCTTCTGGGAAAGAGATAATGTTTTACTTTGCATTTCTACAGCACATACAACAGACCTTGCCATTATAGCTAATGCTTAACATAAGCCATTGCAAGGAACAGGGCCGGCTCTGGCTTTTTTGCCGCCCAAGGCAAAAAAGCCTCCCGCCACCGCCCCCTCTCCCGCCCCCCCTCCCCGCAGCGCGGCAGGGGAGGGCGCTGAGCCCGGCCGCGGGCCGCTCTCCCCGACCGGCCGGAGCGCTGGGGGGATGGCGGCGAGCCCGCCGCAGCTCCGCTGGCAGCCGGAGCCCCGGGGGGAGGGCAACAAGCCCGGCCGGGGCTCCGCTCTCCCCGGCGGCCAGAGCGCCGGGGGGAGGGCGGCAAGCCCACCGCGGCTCCGCTGGCGGCCGAAGCCCCGGGAGGAGGGCGGCGAGCCCAGCCGGGGCTCCGCTTTCCCCGGCGGCCGGAGCCGGAGTACCGCGCTGCCCCCCTCCAGGTGCCACCCCAAGCACAAGCTGGTGGGCTGGTGCCTGGAGTCAGCCCTGGCAAGGAAATATAACACAGATTTTCCAAGTTGTCATTTAAATTGTCACAACAGCCAGACAGACATTAGGAAAGAATTCACATTTTTTCCCCTCAAGTAGGTTAAAATGCAGAAGAAACAGATCTACCTTAGACTCCATCCAACAACATAGAGCTTTAGGGCTTGTCTACACTGACACTTTACAGTGCTGCAACTTTCTCGCTCAGGGGTGTGAAAAAACACCTCCCCGAGTGCTGCAAGTTTCAGTGCTGTAAAGCGCCAGTGTAGACAGTGCACCAGTGCTGGGAGCCGCGTTCCCAGCGCTGGCAGCTACTTTTAACGTTGCCAGTGAAGATGTGCCCTTAGAAAAGCCCTTCCTTAGAAAGAGTTTCTGCTTTGACAAAGGCACAAATTCCATCTGGCCTTATATCCTTCCCCACCCTCTGCCAACAGCCATCTATCATGATGCATTACACTATGCAGAAGATTAGGACTGCAGCTGATAAGCAGTAAGATTAGATAAGACTTCCAGACAAGGATCCTGCTATCATGATAATAGAACAGGGGTGGGCAAACTTTTTGGCCTGAGGGCCACATCGGGGAATAGAAATTGTATGGCAGGCCATGAATGCTCACAAAATTGGGGCTGGGGTGCAGGAGGAGGTGAGGGCTCTGGTTGGGGGTGCATGCTCTGGAGTGGTGATGAGGAGTTCGGGGTATAGGAGGGTGCTCTGGACTGGGACCGAGGGGTTCGGAGGGTGGGAGGGAGATCAGGGCTGGGGTAGAGGTGTGGAAAGGGGTGCAGATTCCAGCTGGGAATGTGGGCTCTGGGATGGGGCTGGGGATGAGAGGTTTGGGGTGCAGGAGGGTGGTCCAAGCTGGGATCGAGGGGTTCGGTGGGCGGAAGAGGGATCAGGGCTGGGGTAGGGGGTTGGGACACTGGGAGAGGCTCAGGGGTGCAGGCTCCATGTAGAGCTTACCTCAAGCAGCTCCCAGAAGCAGTGGCATGTCCCTTCTCTGGCTCCTATGCGGAGGCGCAACCAAGCAGCTCTGTGCGCTGCCCCGTCTGCAGGCACAGCTCCCATTGGAGCACGTAGGAGCCAGAGCAGGGCCATGCCACGGCTTCCGGGAGCCGTGCAGTGCGGCCCCCGGCCCTGCACCCCAGCTGGAGCGCCGGAGCGGGGCTGAGCTGCGTGGTGCAGCACCTGAGCCAGCGCCCCGGCCAGAGTGGGGTTGAGCTGCATGGTGTGGCCCCTGACCCAGCGCCCTGGCTGGAGCGCAGCAAGCCCCAAACCCCACTCCCCAGCGGGAGCTCACGGGCTGGCTTAAAATGGCTCGCAGGCCAGATCCAGCCTGTGGGCCATAGTTGCCCACCCCTGTAATAGAATGAGGGGGGGAGGAAAAACAAACAAAAAAAACAGTAGTACAGAATGGTTTCTAGAACAGAACAGAAGTTTTCTGATGAAGACTCATTAGTCCCAATAACGGTGTAGTCTTCACCAGGGTAAACATCAGAAATGTTAGGTAGTTTAGTTTCTCTCACAATCTATGGATAGTCTCCTCACCCCATTTTCTCTCTCCCTCACAAAATAAACCTATTTTGAGGATCAGCTATGCATCTCCCCTCATTTGCTGTCTAGTTCTTTTGCTATATGCAAAATTCTCTCTTGCTAAGAGAGAGAGAAACAACCTTTCCAGCAGGATAATATTGTTTATTAAGCATTTCCAGCTCTGCACAAATGCAATACAAGGAAGGCTATTTGTTAAGTTACACACACCTGGCATATCCCAAGTTTGCAGGGGCAAACTTGATGCGTGTGTCAATTAAGTTATACTCTAAATAAATATTGGGATCAACTTCCAAGTTAAATTCCAGATTGCAGCCTCCAGGGATAGGATCTAAAAACATAAACAAAGACAGACAGTTAGATGTAGCAAATCTTCCTCTCCCTCATGCAGCATTCTCAGCAGTGCAATGGAATGAAGCTATAGTTCACTTTTGTTGTATTCATTATTAGGGCCTCATTTGGTATGTACTAGGGTTACCATACGTCTGGATTTTCCCGGACATGTCCGGCTTTTTGGGCCTCAAATCCCCGTCCGGGAGGAAATCCCAAAAAGTCGGACGTGTTCGGGAAAATAGGGAGGGAGGGGCCAGCGGTGCACGGCCGGGGCCGCAGGGGCCAGCGGTGGAGGGCCAAGTGCCCCAGGGCCTGAGCCGAGCCGGGCACAAGACGCCGGGGCCAGAGCCTCTTGGCCTGGGCCAGCCAGCCGCTGGAGGGATCGCTCGGCCTAGG